AGGGGAAGGGAAGGACATCAATCTTTTTGGCAACAAAACTAGGAAATTAATTGCTTTCCTCCAGGATGTTTGTTTGACTTCCTAGATCAGCCTACTGATGATGACCTTAGATTTCTGCAGGGCATGGAAATAGAAGATAGACAGACATTTGTCTCCCTCTCTCCACCCACTAGGATCAAGGGTCATCCCGTGAAGCTTGCTGACAGGGGATTTAGAAAATCGCCTAACAACTGTGGAATTCAGTCTCACAAGATGCAGTGATGGAGTTTGGATACTTTCCCTTAAGGACCGATCTCTTAATGACCCTGATCCTAGACCCATGTTTCTCAATCTTGGAACCTTGAGGACAAGGAGACATTAACTCCCAGAACTTCCCATCTGGTTCTGCTGGAATTGAAATCTACACATCTTTAAAGCTTCCAAGGCTAAGAAACTCTCATCTAGAGACTCAATGTTGTCTTTGAGCAGGGGACAACATGCCTCCAAATTCTGGTTGGGTGGAAGAAGAGCTTCTCTCTGACTTCTGCTTGCAAGCATCCTCAAAGCATTCTAGTAGCCATTGTGGGAAGCCAAATCCATTCCACACTAGTGGTTTTTATCATCTAGTCCCAAGACATTCTTGAAAAGGGAATCAAGCACATCTAGTTTAGCCCAATGATGGTTGAGGGATCCCAAAAGATACTGTGAGCCCCCCAGTGATTGGACCTGATAGACCATGGCCTGATCCAGAAGGGCTACTCTTGGGATATCTTGAGATTCAGAAATCAATTCATGTCCCATGCAAAAGTTGACTTGCAGTGATAACATGTCTGCCCACATCTCATTGCCCCACAGATTTTACATGTCAGTATTTTTTCTCATCAAGCCCTGATCCTGGTAATTATTGACCATAATACCCACGTTGGGAAGCTCCAGTGAAGTCTGCCTTGAGTCTGAGAGGTGGGGGCATTCTTCAGATATACTCCCCCATGTCTCTCAAAATAACTCCCTCCCCAGGGATCAAAATAGGAAACCGACGTGAATTGTGTGTCCCAGTTCAAGCCAGTTTAAGACCAGAGTCAATACTGAGCCAGCAATCTGACTTTGCGATCCCACATCTTCTTCCCAAGAAGAGAAACATCTTTCAAAAATCAGGAAGGGAGGGAGGGAGGGAGGGAGCCAGCAATCTGACTTTGCGATCCCACATCTTCTTCCCAAGAAGAGAAACATCTTTCAAAAATCAGGAAGGGAGGGAGGGAGAGAGGGAGAGAGGAAGGAAGGAGGCAGAGGAAGGATGAAAGGGAGGGAGGGAGGGAGCCAGCAATCTGACTTTGCGATCCCACATCTTCTTCCCAAGAAGAGAAACATCTTTCAAAAATCAGGAAGGGAGGGAGGGAGAGAGGGAGAGAGGAAGGAAGGAGGCAGAGGAAGGATGAAAGGGAGGGAGGGAGGGAGAAAGGAAGGGAAGGAAGGAAGAAAGGAA